ATCGGTCCAGTAGTTTTTGAGTTTATTCATTACAAACATACAAAAATACAAAAATACAAATCTTTCCTCTTTATAATATTAGTATAGTTATAGATAACATAAATAGTGAAAATTGGGTGTTACATTGTACAGTGGCATTAAGTGCCGTAATGTGCACCTCTGCCTCCGCCTACGGCGATAAAAGACGTGATGTTATATTATAATTTTGTACTATGTTTTATTCTCTTGTATTCCCTTATGGATCTTGTATTCCCTCTAAGTGTGGGAGAGCCATGTTTCGGCACGAATGGGCCGGCTCGACCGGAGTGATACCACGGCCTCACAGAAACAACCGACGTGAAACAACGCTTGCGTTGTGTTTCCTCGTGTGAGTGAGGTAACCGGAGGCCCAATAATCTCTAGTCCCCGTCTCCCAAATTCCCGAATCCTCCACAATCCTCAAATTCCCAATTCCCAAAAGGCCGATAACGCACTTGTAACGCCTTGGTGTTTCGAGTGTCCATGGTCGGCGCCGATTCCTTACCATCAGGTGATCCGTCTGCTCGTTTACCGGCTTATGGTATAAAAAAATGGTCAGGAGTGCACAATGTGCACATATTAAATGTAACACACCTTTATTGACAGATATTATCATCAAGACTCGTGTCATTACCTCTACATTATTTGCTGGACTATGTGAGCTAGCTTCTTCTTCATAATAACGAAAGCCACAATTTCCGAGCTTGGCATGCGCGTTGGAGATCACAGTGTAAAAGGTTCAGTTTTATCAGAGAACTGCTGAATCTTTGTCAAATGTGTAATGCCTTAGTCAATTCTTATAACACCAATCCCTGAATCCCCAACAATCCTCAAAAGGCCGGTAACGCACCTGTAACGCCTCTGGTGTTCCAGGTGTCCATGGGCGACGCCGATTGCTTACTATCAGGTGATCCGTCTGCTCGGTAATCAGCTTACCCCATAAAAAAACACACACATGACAAGCGTAGGTGATGACTAATTTATACTATTCTACCGTCTGCCAATGAAAACTAAACATATTCTCATAGTAATAACCTTCTCTTTTGCCCGCAGACTCTCAAAATCTACAACAGAAGTAAAACAAAAGTCGCAATGGCTAGATTTGACCCACGACACAGACATAAACCATCTCAAAAAAACTCCAAACCTAACAAGAGAAGAAAGAGAGAATATAGAAGTTTTGTACCACAACAAATATGTGCCTTTATCAGAATTACAAGAGCAGAAGGAAGCAGAATTTGAAACAGATGAAGGAAGAACTTTCAACGACAATTCTATTGAAAGATTCAAAAGAGAAGCTAAGAATCCGACTACGGTACGTCCTCTAGAAGTGTCCAGAACGTCACCAGATGATGTTAGTAGAAAAGGAAGGGATGTGACCCTACCTGTCTCCGATTTTGTCAGTGTCAGAGGTGATCCTTTCGTGGTTAACATTGAAGGTTTAAGAATTGAAAACTCTGCTAAGGATCCGAAGATCATTGAGGATGGTATTCCGAGCGTGCTGGCTGATTCCAGAGTTACTCTAAGGTGAGTGAAATAATGTTTGTTTTATAAATAGATTACTTTTATTCAGGTCATTTTATGTATATCTATATATGTCCGTCTGATAGATTATTTTAAATCATTAGACACGTATTTTTTATTTTCTTACGGAAACGAATAATTTCGAAGAAATATTACATATACATTTTATACGTAGAAATGACGTTTTAGCCCCCACTCCTAAACTTTGATTCGTTTTATCTAAGTATTGTCACTACATAGTATAAAACAAAGTCGCTATCCGCCGTCTGTCTGTCCCTATGTATGCTTAGATCTTTAAAACTACGCGACGGATTTTGATGCGGTTTTTTTTAATAGACACAGTGATTCTTAAGGAAGGTTTATACATACATATGTATAATACATGCATATTGCACCCGTGCGAAACCGGGGCGGGTCGCTAGTTTTATTATACGACAAAATAAAAAAATACGTATCTAATATTTATTCATTACCTAACTGACGGACTAATTACATTTTTAATTTTCATACCCTGTCATCATCCCAATTCTGTACATAAAATATGTATATTTCAAAAATAACTATCAGCGAGTGATTAGGGATCGATACTGATGCCAAAAATACAATCAGTAAAATTATTGTC